CAGTTAGCACCTCTGAAGTCATGACAATCAAAAATGTCTCCAGGCATCGCCAAAAGTCCCCCAGGGCACAAAAATCACTCCTGAATGAGAGCCACTGTCTTAAATACACATAACCCATACAAATCAGAGAAGAGTGTTCCTGAAATTGGTTCTGTCTCTCACATACAAGAATAAACCACTGACCACTGGCTGCAATTGAGAAAAACTGCTAGTGTGAATTCTATGTATATTTTAGCTTTCATGTATTCTTTTTCTTTCCTTTCCTTTTCAATTTTTTGTTTTGAGTGTCACTGACACTGGTGACTATATGAATAAAAATGGGTTTGATTTGTACCCAGAAATCTGTAATGCTTGAATTTCACATCAGGAGACTGGCTTCACTCCACCTTATCAAGCACTGACACCCATAGTAAAGACAAACCGTCGTGCTGAATTAAAAGCTGTGAAACTTTGTAACCAAAGGCTTTTTCCACAAATTCACATAGCGTTACCATGGGCATTAGCCACTGACCTGACACTGACCTAAAAATGGCACAAGTGTGCGTACACGCTCACACCCACTCACACAGAGGTGCAAGTATAAAGCAAACTTTCTCCACTACTTTCTTGTGCATCAATCCTACTTCCATTTGTGACGGATGGAACCAACCACTAGTAGCAGAGAGAGTCTGAAGGGATGCTGATTTTTATTGTGCAAATGCACGTAAATTAGCTAAAGGTCAATTCTAAGAATAAACTGACAAGATGGAAGAGGTTGCTGGAAAAAGGAGACACGAAATCCTCCAGTTGGCTTTTAGGAGGCTGATTAACAGGAAAATCACCACCCCTCAGCCCAGGACAAACCCCGTGAGAGTTGCAGGACCAGGGCACATTTTCCTTCAGCTTTTTCAAAGGAGATGCACTAAATAAAGCAAGGATTACAGTCTAGGAACTAAAAATTCTTTACCCAACAAACAACACAGTTTGTTCACAAACAAGAGGACCATTTTTTTAAAAGGTTAGGAAGCTGGGGCAGAAAAGGGATCCCACTTGGGAAGTAGAGGAGGGAAGTGAGCTAAATCAAATTTAATATTTTTTAAGAATCTTGGCCGAATAATCTTAATTAGCAATTCAAGTTTATTAGTTTCATTAGCCATTCTTCAATTTCCTGTGACAGTCGTCTTTACTTAAATATTCACTGAGGATCACCACAAGTGTATGTTTAAGCCACTCATTCTCTATTTCTCTTATCATGTGGGAATTTGATATCCGTCCAGTTATTCTGTTACATGGATAGAACCAACTGGGTTGTTGAAACTCTCCAGAATTGTTTCTATCTGAATAATCAGAGTATGGCCTTCCTTTCTGATCAGAGTGGAAAAGTATAGAACTTCATCTCCTTCTTGTCACTGCATATGAAATATGACCACTATTTTGAATTCACTATTTCTTTCTCTATTTTGTATTTATTTTCCCTCATGGGTTTTGCTTGCAGTTTTTAGTTAATGTTGGAGTTCAGCATCCTCAACTATCTGAGAGTTTCATAATTCTGCCTGAGTCAGATTGGACAAACTTAGCAATTCAATGACTCAGGATTTTATTGGTGAAATACAGCTAAATTCACTAATCATTCCATATTCATTTTGGTGGTGTTCGTATGTGCAGTTAATGGAACCACCTTTGGGGCCATACACACAACCACTAAGTTATGGATCATTCTCAAATTCCTCTGACTCACACTGCACAAGGCCTGGAAATGAACAACTCTCCTTGGGAAAGTTCATTTGTTTTCCTTCCTTGATGGGTATCATAAGGATATATCTCACTGAGAGATGTGCTCCCATCTACCCAGAGTACCCAGAGATAAAACTATATCGATGCAGGTTTTCAGTTCGGCAAAAAAACAAAACAAAATCCAAACGTACAAATACACACAGAATGGAAAGGTGACTGACAGGCAGATGAAAGGGCAGAGGAATCATGGAACCTACTCTGCCCTGGTCCTGGGATGCTCTTCTTTGGGCCTTTCCTCTTAGTGAATAATGCAAACTCTGACTTCTTTGTAGTGGAAAGGAAGTGAGAAAATGTGGACCTTTGCACAGTCAACTCCTCAACAGCAGGATTTCTTAAAGGAAGGTCCACAGACCATCTTATCAAAATCATGAGAGAAGCTGGACCAAAATGCAGATTCCTTGGCCCTGCATGAAGTTTCTGAATGACTCTCCGGGGCTAGGGTAAAGGGAGCTGCATTTTTTACAAGGGCTACAAATGATTTTTGTGAATGCTGAGTATTGAAAAACACTGCTAAAAAGTTTGCAATGGAGGTCACTACGAAAAGAATCTCCCTTCTAATGTTATGTTGCAAGATGAGAAATATGGACATTTCAAACATATAAGCTCTGTGGTTGCATCACAACGTGGTGATTATTAAAGTTTAAGACTCTTTTCTTTCAGCAGGGGTGGAGAGCAGTAACCATTTCATCTAAAAGCAGAGAGATGAAGGCAATATAAATCAAACCCATTCCAGCAGGTTTCATTTGGTCTAATTTCTCTGCAGATATTAATCACTGTACACTCCTGCACAAATGACATCTAACTCCATTTTAACTCAGAATACAGAATACTCACTCTGATTCCTTCTCTATTGCATTATTTTGACAATATAAACAAAAATAAATAAATCGAAACAGTGGGTCATCAGGATTACAAGATGCCAATGATACCAAGACATTAAAGAGAGAAATGGCCCATGCTAAACCTATAACCCAGCATGCAAATTGACAAAAACATTTATCTGCCACAGAGTCACCAGGGGGAAAAAAAATTACTTTCATTTTTCCTATGAAAATTGCTATGTCAAGTGGAGGTGACAAAGAATTCTTCCTAAAAGTCCACAGAAAGACTCATTAATTCTAGCAAAGATCATCTAGGAAGACCAAGGTTAGTTAGATTCCACCACATCATATCTACTGGCAGAAAGTACCAGCACTCAAGTGCTCTGGGTTAAATCATTATGGTAAATACAAAGCTGGAAGTTTAAAACTGTAACAAAGGAAAATGTCTGAGCATCAAAGTTTGGCTCCCATTATGGGAGTTGGTGTCAAGTAATTGTGCAAACCACCATATATGCCTTTTCCTTTTATCACTGGAGCATGTTTTGCTTGGCAGAGACAAAGGACAATCAGAGGGGAATCTATAGGCCAGAGAAGCGAAAGTAACCCAGAACCACAAGGAGTTGACAACGAAGAGAACCCACCATGAAGAGCACGCATCTGCACCTAGGAATGAAGCTGCCTCTGAATCGAACAGGGGCACCTGAAAAGTGAAAAATTCTATTTGTTATCTTTTACTAAATGTGTATCCCTAAAGTGAATCAAGTGGGGGTAGACGTAGCTATGAGGGAGTAAAGAGAGAAGGGAACACGTGATTTGTGCATTGTTCCCCTTTTATTTTAATTTGCCATGCATGCATTTCCAGTAAGACAACTGCCTACAATCACAAAGGGTAACACCACGCATATTGTGGAGGCCACTTCACTTGGCTGTTTTATGACCACAAACTCAGTGCAGTTTTTTCTTACTGGGGAAGGGAGAGCACACCAACACAGTGATCTCACAGTTTTAGTTTCCTGTCTTCCCCTTTTCCTGCTGAACAGTCTGTTTTTGATAGTGTGTCGGAGGACTTGATAAATATATTCCTGACTCCAGGAGATCCACATACCTGTGGAGAGTGACCTCCCCAATGTCACTGGATTTTAGCATTGCAGGATTTCCCAGGAGGCAACCTGAGTTAAGGTTCTACACATGATTTCTCATTCATTTGAGCCATCTGATGCTATTAGTTTCTTCGTATCAGCAAATTACAACCCTCATCATAACCGATATTGAAGAAGCGAACCACATATATTGTTCTTTCCGGAAATGAACTAAAAGTTCTTGAAACTTTTAAGCTCAGGGAAACAGGCATGAATCGGGATCAATAGAGCATTTAATCCTCTAACTCACTTACCCAGAAATCATTTCCAATGTGGCAAGCCACCTACACCTCACTTGATAACTTCACTCAAACTAGGACTGAAGGTTTCCACTGACTTGGTGCCTCCTGGGAGCTTTTTACTGACTAGGTCTATATTCATCTCTATACCAACACCCACACAAATAAATACCTTGCTTACCTGTCTTAGGTATTTGGAATATTTGGGTGAGTGTCCATCTAGAGATGGTCCAGATTAAAAATGTTATTATTGTTTCAATCAGACTTCCTACCACTAGCTTTGTTCACTAGGGGTATAAGGAATACCTAAGCAGAAAAAAATTCATGACAGGTCAAGGGACAGAAAAAGTATGCCATGAACATTGTCTTTGCAGTGTTCGGTTTCCTGTTTAAAGCAGGCAGTGGAAGTAGTGGGTTGACTGACATCTTCCTCCTTCTTTAGTTCTTACTAGTGTATTTCTATCTTAATACCATTAGAGTTAGGTCTGAAATTTAAGGAAATTGGAACTTGGCCATTTTATGTAGATGCCAGACTCCAATAGGGCCACAGGCATCATCTGACCTAAGTGAGTTGGAAGATATTTTACCTATCTTCAACTTCTTCTTGACCCATTAAATTCTGTGATTCTTTGCAGGATCCTCTATTAATAGGATGATATTGTATTAAGAAACATTGAAAGGAAAGAAGGCATATTGGTAGGGCTTTACAAAACTATGCTGTAGTTAAGAACAAATGCCTGCTAATATATTAATCCATACAAGAACACCACTTAATTTCATAAATGATATTTCTCTTGACAACGCAACTCCCCAAATGAACTTTCTTTTTCACTCAAGTCGATAAAGGACTTCTGTTTGAGCCTCAGGATAAGAAAACATTGGCTGAGTCTGTTGCCCAGATGTGAGGGCAAGATTACAAAAATTCAGGAAGATACCCACGTACTAATGGTCACTAATAACAGGAATCAAGAGAGAACCTCCTACATAATAAATGTGCATCAACAAAATATTTCAAGAGGAAGCAATTGGTCATTATTTTCCCTCCTACAGACATCATCCAGTTGCCTTTATTACCTGTGATACATATATACATACACACACACACAATAAAAAAAAAAATTAGGAGTGCTTGGCACACAAATAATGATTGACAAATTATTTTTTAAGTTCCCACTGAAATGCATGAGGAATGCTGAAATTAAAAACTGGTCTTTTAATCTTCATTTACCACAAGCCTATGAAAGAGCTATTGGTACATTAATAGAATACAGAGTCATACGGATAGATGACTATTAGCAGTTTCTTTTTGACTGTGTCTATACAGGTCAAAGATGTATTCAAGAAAGATAGTTTAGAAAGCCAAAACCTTAATTCTGAAGCTTTAGTTATCTAGTTGGGGGGGTCATAGACATCAGGGAAATGACAGCCAAATCATAGAACAGGCACAGCCAAATCCCAGAATCCCACAGACAAAACTGGCTACAAGAGAGTAACAATGTAGCACTGTAGTTTTAAAAAGTTATGAGAAATTATTAGGCAGTGTGTGGAATACAATTCCCTCTTAAAGAAACAAACAAAAGGCCGGACCCTTATTCAAGTACATAGGAACACGGAGAACTGAATGTGGGTCACATGAAAAGGCTACACTAAAACATGGGCAGTAAGTACTCTGAAAACATTGAGAGAAGGAAGGTAACTCAGCTCAGGGTAGAGAAGGCTGAGTGCGGGGTCACTGAGTCATAATTTTTGTGGATACGAATGTTTGTTTCTTTAATACAAAGAATGTTTTAGTGAGCTCTTCTCACCCTCTCCTAGTGCAGAGAAAGAGCAAAACTGTAAAATGGAGCCTGAGGGTGTTAATTTCAAAATAAGGAAGACAATTTGTTGTTGACCAGGGTTACTCGATGTTGGAAAGTGTTGCCAAGAGAGGCTGGGAAATCTTCCCAGAAGGGTTTTAAAGAAAGGAGCAGAGGCTCATCTGTGCCTCAATTAGTCGACCAGAGTGCTGCTGGGAGCAGGGGTGTTCCCTTTAAGATGACCAGGCCCAGGGGACACGTGCACTGGGTGTATGTACAGACATCGTTGTGCTTCTGTCGCACAAATACTCATGCATACAGCATCAATATAAACTGGCACATAATAGATTTCAGTGAAAAGTCATATAAATCTGCCTTTTCCCCCCTTACCCCATGAACAAAAGGGAAAAGGAAAATTAAAAAAACCCAGACATATGCCATTGGGCCAGATCTCTTTCTACCACATTCTCATTCAGAGGAGGGAGGTAGAAGATGAGAGAAAAACCCAGTTTGGGATAAAGGACTCCCAAAGCCTCTCAGCTACTCTTCCGTAGCCGGTTCTCATTATACATAAGATACTCAGCATGTGGTATCCAGTTAACAAACAAACAAGGAACCAAAAAGAGATTTTCTTATCATTCCACATCTGGAAAGAAATCTACCCTGTGGATTTAAATGTTAAGGTGAACTAGGTAAATAGGCAGTAGTATATCAATGGGCTACTGTGTTCTAACAAACGTATTGTTAGTTGTTACTTTCCTTTTCAAATATGAATTTCGTTAGGAGCTTTATTTCCAAATGGCGACATGACTCGTTTCTTCTCCCACCCCCGGCCCTCCCCTATAGATGATACTTCCGTAAAAGTTCAGATTGCCAAGGATGTTTTCTCTCCGGGAACCGGTCTGGGATTTTGATCTTTAGGAAATCCTGGATGCATTTCTCCAGCTCTTCCTCAATTGAGAGCTTTTCCTTAACAGCTTTTTTTTTGCTGCTCATGTTCGACTCCCTGGAGCCCGAAGTCAGAGTCCGGAGCAGATCGCTTTTCCGCCGCATCTCGGACTGCTGGACCAGCTGCACGGGGCCCTTCTTGATGGGACGGTCCAGAGTCTGGATGTTGGTCTGGCGTGTCACAGGCCCACAGATGACCGTCTCCTGGGGAGAGCTGGCCTCAGACTGGCTGTCGCAGCTGGACGTGGAGAGGTCGTTGCAAGACGTGCCGCTCTCCCCGTCTTTGTCACCTGTGGCGTTCTTGCAGCAGCAGTCGCAGTGGGAGGGTGACCACCTCGAAGGCTCACCTGCAAGCAAGCACAGCACCCAAGAGGTTAATGCCAGGCAGCTCAGCCCGGAGGAGCAGCACAGCACCTGAACACGCACGCACACACGCACAGTGTCCACAACCATGTCTTTACAAGAAGTGGGGTGGCACACAGGATGGGCTGCAATATGACTGCCTAAAAGTCAAGTGCACTGAAGGGAGGAAGTTCATAACCGCATGCTGTGCTTCAGTCCACAGGCATTGCGGTCAGCTACTTAGCTACACCATTCACCAACCTTGTCACCTTAGCAGTCCCCTTACATCCTCAAAGTTTCCGTTTCCTCCCCTGGGAGATGAGGATAATCACTTGCCTGCTCCCTAGAGTTGTAGGGAGGGTTTAGATAAATCAAGTGAAATTCTTAATGCAGTACGTAGCGCACAGTAAACTCTCAATAAATGCTACTTGATTTTACCGTGGCTGGTGTTAAACCCGGATCCAAAGCTCCACGTTATTGCAGTCCGATACAACAACGGCAGTCTACAAGAGTCGGGGAGGGCTTACTCTGTGCCAGCCCCCATGTAAGCTCTGTGTACCCATCATCTCATGGGAGCCTCATGGTAATTCTATGAGTAGCTCCACTCCTAGATTCCATACAAGGAAACTAAGACCCTGCGAATTTAAGAAACTTGCCCTAGTTTGCACATTTCATAAGTGGCAGAGCTGGGATTTGAATCCAGATTTCCCAAATACCACAACCAAAGCAATTAACCATTTGTTTTTTTCAACATGTCTGACTGTAAAATTCCTGCTTTTCTTTAAAAACAATGTTCAAGGTTTAACTTTTCTCTGAAGTGTCTGTTTACCTCTCCTCAGAAATATTTATCATTTTCCCCTCTGAATTATGGTTTTGTTTTGTAAGTGTCTCTAATATTGCACAAATCACATTTTGTTCTCATTCTTTTTTACATTATTCATCTCAGCTACTCACCACAAACTCCCTGAAGTGGGCACAGTGAAAGTGCCCATTGTTGTAATTCCAGCAAGTAGCTCGGAGTTCGGTGTAGAAACTCAATAAAAGGCTCTATTCCCCTAGTAACTTTTAAATACCTGGATTCAGCCACACCTGAAGCTGGTACTGTCAGTGGACTTTTAAGTTACCTGATCCACTATATTATATTTAAGCCAGTGTGAGCTCCTCTCTCCCTGTTCCCCTCAGTTTTGATTCACAGCACTGCATTCAGCTATGTGGAGACAGACCCATTTTTCAGATACACAGTTGGTGGCTCCCTGAACTAGAAAATCCACAATTATGGCACAAAGCAAGTTCCTAAACATAAGTCACTTCTTCCAGCCTTCTATCCTCTGAACATTCAGTCTTCTTAGGTCATGAACTTGATACTATTTACTCATCATACATTATATGCTAGGCTCTTTCATATAGTTCATTGCACTCAAGCCATAAAAAATAAAGGAAATGAATCCCCTTTATGATGCTAATATTGAGGACAAGGATAATGTAGTATCTTTATATGTTTAAAAGGAGACCCAGTTTTGATTTGTGCTATATCTTACTCTCATAAATAATGAAACACATTATAATAAGATCCCACTTTACTGCCACCTCTAATATGGTCAAAGTAGAGGAAACCTAGAATGGAAACTAATAGGAAAGTTATGTCCTGTCTTCTTGTAAAAGGCCTGTCATCTACATACCTAAATGATTTAAATATTTATGGAAACTTATATATTTTCCAGAGGGAGTAAAAAAAAGTCCTTTGTAAATTGCAACTCCAAAATTATCTCTAAAGTATACCCACTCTTTCAAACCACTTTTTAAAATGTGACTGAGTAATCATTGTATTTATATACCCATTAAATGAAATGCAACAATCCCATTAGCCAAAAGGAATCACCAGAGCAATAATGTCCTACTTATCCCAGGCTATTACCAATAAATATCTTCCGCGCAACAGGGAAACTGCTCAACGTGTACCAGCTGCAGACTGAAAATATCAGCAATAGGAAATGTTTTGTCTGCCAGCCCAGATTCTGAGGGTATCATTTTTCTCCTTTCAAAGGCAGAATCTGCCTCTACCTCCCCAAACCCAGCCATCCCTAGACTAATAGGACTCGATGGAGAAATGGCTCTGACGTGTTGGGTCAAAACAAGGTAATCACAGCAACCCAGACCTGATCTAGTTTGATCCTTTATGAGAAAAGTTCAGAAACTGACCTAAGCCTTAAAAAAAAAAAGAAGAGGGAAGAGGAGACAGACACAAAGGAGAAGAAGAAACATGTGCTGAGATATGCCTGCCCATTATCTTAAAACAAGATGATTAACTATTTTGGCCATAAACCCTGCTGAACCAGTAGAAATGCAAGTTTGTATTTTTCTTCCCAAGAGTTACCTTCCCCACAGTAAAGTCATTTCATGCAGTGGACTTGGAGGGAAATGTAAGGTTTTTCTAAAAGGCAATTTAACAACACAAACACCATCATAGGAGGGAGCCCTACATGTTTATGTGGAAAACTGCACACAGCCCTCCACTGCATGTCCAAGCCAAGAACCCAGAGCGGCTATAGCTATCTTCCCTGAACTGCCAGGATGATCATGGATTTAATTATGGTCCTCCAGCTTCCAGGCAAATAGAAATATTACTTTCTACTTATTCTAGGAGCTATCACTATTAAAGGGAAATTGAACAACTTAATTTTAGTGGAGCCTGTTATACTACCACATGTTTCAATATTTTATGAGAACATTTTAACATTTTCGGCAAGACAATTCAAAAGAAGGCTTCTGAAGTCCAAATATTAGTTTGAAATCAAGGAAAAGATGGTATGAATGCAGCTGGAGGTCCTGTGTGAAGAGTCATCATGAAATTTAAAAACAGTCAAATGTGAGAAGGTAACCACTCTGTTTCTTTTTGGGAAACACTATCTGTCTCATTACCCCCTTCCCAAGAACTTAACCAGAGCAGAGGTTTTAAACCGCAGCTGATACGTAATGTGTGTGGACAGTGGACCCGTTTGCCCTTGCAGCCCCACTGACATGTGCTCACCAGTCCTGGCAGATGTGGAAGGAGCTGTGAAGGGTCAATTCTGTAACTCAAGGTATTCTAGAATCCCCCCAATTATAGCAAATTATGATCTCATAAATACCTTGGTACTTCAAATTATAATATGTTTTTGCTCCCAATCGGCTGAGGTTTCAATACAGGCTAGAATAGGGCACCTGGGTGGCTCAGTTGGTTAAGCGACTGCCTTCGGCTCAGGTCATGATCCTGGAGTCCTGGGATCGAGTGCCGCATTGGGCTCCCTACTCAGCAGGGAGTCTGCTTCTCCCTCTCCCGCTCCCCCTTCTTGTGCTCTCTCTCTCACTCTCTCAAATAAATAAATAAAATCTTTAAAAAAAAAATACAGGCTGGAATAGTTCTCTCCATTTGAAGAGAAGATAGGTTACAACTGATTAGCCAGATATAGGAAGAAAACCATTTCATCCCAAGAAAAGTCTGATTTATTGATATTAAAAAGGCAAAAAAATCTACTGTCTTTTGAGGGGTTTATTAACAGGCTAGTGGCAAAAAGCACAATAGCTCTACTTTATTTTTAAATAAACCATTGCTTAATTTGTTGGATATTATATTATTTTTGGTGCCTGGCACATAACACAGGTTTGATAACTGCTGAATGAACCAATGAGCCAAACACATGTGTTGAACTGTATCAAGATCATAATGTAGCAGCACAGATTGTGGACTCCAGAATCCGGCCCCACAATTTGTCAGTTTGGATAAATTACTTCACCTCTCTGAGCCTTAATTTTCTCATCTAAAAAATAATGCTAATAATAGTATCTCCCTCACGGAGGTTTTAGAAAAATGAAACGAGACAATTAAGGTAAAGGTGTTTCATGGTTTGAAGCACCCAGTAAGTGTTCCATTCATTTGCTCTGCTAAAAGCCAGGCACTAACCTACATGAACAACACAAAGGAGGAGCTTGTTGGATAGGATTTGGTATGTTTCCCCCAATATGCTCTACAACCAATTGTCAGGTCTGGCTGGAACATCATGTGAGGAAGAACACTGATGCTGACACTGGACTCATCAAGAAAATGTATAATGACATTTAGTAATGTCTGGATTTTCTGTGGGAGTGGAGAGTAACCACAAGCAAGTGCAGTGTCTGCCACATAGTATGTGATCAGGGGATAGTTTTGGAAAGAAGTTTCCTTTACTGTACAGTGCTTACAATTTCACAAATGGATGAGTCTTCTGAAATAAGAATTTGCTTGAAGACACGTAAAATAATTTAAACCCAGAGCCAGGAGTAATCTGTATTTTGGATTAAAGAGGGGAGGAGCAGGACCCTCAATCGCCCTAAGTCCTTAAAGCTCAAATCTTCCAACATTTTACAACTTTGAAAAATTGAGGACCAATCAGGCAAGCTGTATGATTGTATGTGGCCCCTTTCGCTATAGCCCCAACTGCAGAAGTCCTTACTGATAAAGAAGGAATAAAAGAGGAAAGACTACAGAATACTTCTCCCCTATGAAAAATTCAAACCGAGCTGAGTGAAACATGACTTAGCAAACTCACAAAGTGCTTATGCATTTTTAAAAGAGGCAGCTCTGCAATCTACCCACACTTCAAATTCTCCACCTGCTAATGGTTGTGAACACAATGCACATCATTTACAGCAACAGCTGGGAAAACTGCTTTCCCCTATCTTCTCTGTCAATGATGTAGGAGCCTGCCAGTCTGGGAGCTAGGTGGCCAGATCTAATTTATTGAGGCTGCTGAAAGACTTTCTTGGTATCCCAGTTGAAAAGTCAATAATGGCCAAATTGATGTTTTTATAATTCTGCTAATCTTGGAGAAGATATTTCATAGTAGAGATTGGGAATAGGTAGGCTGTGCAAGCTTCTGAGAAAATACATTTTCCAGCTTGATAATCATCTTTTCTTGCTTCCTTTTCCACTCATGGACATTTGGCCTTGGATGGGCCCAGCTGGGGCTCCTCATTAAGAGGAGGCAAATTTGGGTAAGAGCAGACAGTTAAATCATTCATGCATCAGTCAGGGCTAGTCACTACAGGCATTACACACCTGTAATCTTCATAGGGAGAATTTAATATAAGGAATT